TTTTCAATGCGATTTTCTGGATCAGCGCCCTGAATTACATAAATGATACTGTTTTTCTTTAAGATTAATTCTGTTTTATTACAATTTGTATTCTAGACAATTTTATGGTATTTTATGGTTTTTAACGTTTTTCTCGTGAACTAATCACAATTGGACAAAAATGTATTCTACAAAAAAGATGTGTTTTGTTAAGACCTACATCTTTTGTTAAGAATATTTTTTCAAATTCCGTGTTTTTTAGGAGTTAAATGCAAAAACCACATTTTTATGGTGTTTTTTATGGTTTTCACCATGATAACCTTATTTGCGCCAATTTTCACTATGATTTTCGTAATCAGGGCACAAAATTACCTAAGTATACCAACTTTCATTAAAATCCGAGGTATGCGCTTTTCGGAAGTACACCCATGTTTTTTTCGAAAAAAGAATCAGCTACGATTTTTGGAAATGAAAATTTGGAATCTTGGGACGATTCCAGATAAAACTGCGTTAGCACAATTTTGACTCATTTTAGGTAAACCTAAAAGTGCTTGAAGACCACCGTGACGGGTATTTTTATTTTTAAAAACTATTATTATTCCTTTTAATTTTTTACAGTTACGATATTTTAATTAAGTAACTATTAAAAAAATACAAAAAGCAATAAATTAGTTATCCGCAATTTTTAGCACACCATAATACGCTCATCCACGATATTTGCCACGCGATAATACCCTCAAGTCATAATAAGTCCCGCGAGATTACAAGCATATATGAGTCTTCTATTTAATCATTTATTTAAATATTAAAACTATTTTCTATAACATTGTCAATTTTTTTTTAAAGAAACAAATTTAACAAAGCTTAAATATTCATTTAGAATAAAAAACAAATCCATATATATTCATTTATAATTTTTAAACCACTTGGAAGTATGACTTATACAAAATTCCTCGATAATACCCACATTTACCCTATATATTTATTTTATTAAAAGAAAAAAACATTGAAAAAAGATGTAAAAATTAATGATAAAGTTTTTTCAATATTTATATTATATTAAAAAATGTATTTAATTAATTTTTTGAAATTGTGTTCAAAATCATGACAATACATTACTTCGTGCAATACATATCTCAGAGGTTAACCTCAAATTTTTTAGTGTTGAGAACACGAAAATTATGATAAACAAGTGTAAAATCCATGCTTTATACAAAGTCTAAGAAAAATTCGTTTACGTGGCTGTTTTCAAAAAACAAATTTTACAGTTTTTCTTTAAATGGACTTTCTGGTCATAGATTTAAAAAATAATTGATTTTCCTTCTTTCGATACGCCATTTGAAAGAGCGATTTCTAAGGGATAAGAAATGTCCATTGACAAATTTTGAAATTGCGTTTTAACGTTTAAAAATAATGCCAAACTTCAGGTATTGTGCATCTGATCTTTAGGGTGAACATCATACACTATCGTCCACGAGTATCAGGACGATTACACACGACTCTATGGAAAAACATGCCATCACTTTTTCAATCATATCTCAGAAATAAAAAGGCGTGTAGTTCCGAAAACGTCCGCCCTCCGATTTTTTTCGGAACTATATCCATAAAAGGAGATACAAAAACAACTTAAATACGCTTAGAAAGGTTATTAAATTTTGCGTAAAATAAGCCGTCTTTGAAGTCATTTCGCTAACTATTTTTTAGTTGTAGAGTGAGAAATAAATAAACAAAATTATCAAATTTTCTCATTTTTGTCTCTTGATTTCAATTTTTTAAAAATCTAGAAAAATTTAGATAAAATTTTTTTAAAAACACAAAAATCTTCGTTAGAATTTTATATGTAAAATAAGCCTTCGAAAATTAAAAACCGGACAAGTGCGAGTAGAACTCGTACTAAAACCGAGGGTTCCGAACCCTCGTTTAAAACTTCTGCTTTTTTGATGAGAAAAATATAAAGATCAACTCCAATATTTTTCGCTGTGTTTTTTCTGTAATCTACAGGTGAAAATAAATAAATAACCAATTTTCATCTCTTCAGATAAAACTGTAGGCGCTAGGGTAAAAAACACGCTTTTTTGACGAAATTTTTAAAAACTTTGAGTTTTTCGCTAAAAAAAATATGAAGATAAAATTCAATCATGTTCGGTCTATTTTTCCTGAAATCTACACATGAAAATTCATAAATTAAGCAAAACTATAGTCCAATAGGCCAATAATTGTGAAAACCAAGGGGGGGGGGTACACACTTTTTTTCTAAAGTGAAAACATTTTTTAGTTTTTCGCGAAAAAAATATGAAGATGAACTCCACTAATTTTTTTTGTATGTTTGTTGAAATCTGCACGAAAAAATAAATAAAAATTTATAACATACGCCAGTCCACTAGGTTAAGAATTGTGAGAACCAGCAAGGGTTAAAGAATTTTCGAGCTTGCAAAAAGAGATTTTAGTTTTTCGATGAAAACATCATGAAGATCAATTCTAATCACTTCCGCTATATTTTTCCTGTAATCTACGTAAAAAAATACATAAGTATGCCAATTTTCAGCTCTCTAGGTAAAAAACTGTAGGCGCCAGGGGGGGGGGTACTTTCTTCTAAATTTTCAAAATTTTCAAGGTTTTCGCTGAAAACACTATGAAGATCAATACCAAATATGTTCGCTATATTTTTCCTGTAATCCATTTTTGAAAATACATATGGGCAATTCCACGTGAGATTTCAGTCGACCTCTTAAAATCGGCCAAAAATATTTTTTTTCTATTCTGTATTGAAAAAAAACAGATACGTATTTTTTTATTATTTTTTTGAAGGCCAAATTTTTGAGTTATGAATTTTCAAAATTTTCGTTTTATAAATGAAGATATAGTTTTAATGTCAGATATCTCAAAAAATATTGCTTCTTTTCATTTTTTGACAAGAGATAAAAAGTTTTGTTTATCTCTCTACTTTTGAATAATCATAACAAAAAAATTTTTTTTTTATTTTTTATTAAAAAAATAAAAAAATTTTATAAACAAATTAATTTTTTTTAACTTTGGGTATGATAAATTTTTAATTTTCTTTTTTTAAAACATACCTGGAAATGATAAGAAGGTTTTGCAAAAAGTTTCAGAGTGGGCCTGACAAGTTTGATGGGATTAAACAAAAAAATTAAGCTGCCCGTGCAGGTCGCTCGCACACAGCATAATGGGATTTTTTTACAATTTACTATTAAAAATCGTCTAGAGCCTACAAATTTTATCGGATTTTGATTATTATTGAATTTGTAGGCTCTAAACAATTTTTAATAATAAATTGTAAAAAAATCCCATTGTGCCGCGTGCGTGCGACCTGCACGGACAGCTTAATTATTTTTTTGGACCCATCAAACTTGTCAGGCCCACTCTAAAACTTTTTGCAAAACCTTCTTATCATTTCCAGGTATGTTTTAAAAAAAGAAAATTAACAATTTATCATACCCAAAGTTAAAAAAAATTAATTTGTTTATAAAATTTTTTTTTTTTTAATAAAAAATGAAAAAAAAAAATTTTGTTATGATTATTCAAAAGTAGAGAGATAAACAAAACTTTTTTTCTCTTGTCAAAAAATGAAAAGAAGCAATATTTTTTGAGTTATCTGACATTAAAAATATACCTACATTTAAAAAACGAAAATTTTGAAAATTCATAACTCAAAAATTTGACCTCAAAAAAAAGATAAAAAAATACGTATCTGTTTTTTTTAATACAGAATAGAAAAAAAATATTTTTGGCCGATTTTAAAAGGTCAACTGAAATCTCACGTGGAATTGCCCATATGCATACCAATTTTCATCTTTCTACGTAAAAAACTGTGAGCGCTAGGGAGGGGGTACATGCCTGTCACGCGCCCAAGATTTTACCGCAGCCCACCAAAACCATAGTGGAGCTGCTGTCACATACGTTGTTCCGCTACAGTCCCAAAGGTCTCTCAGTGTACGCGTGAAAATACATACGTGTACCAATTTTTAGCTCTCTAGATGAAAAACTGTGAGCGTTAGGGGGGGTACATGGTCATTTTCCGTAACCGTTTTAAAAGGGTTCCTACCGGGTACGGAACCCTAAAAAGGTTAATCCGTCTTTGATTTATTATTAAAAGTGCGAAGCCGTGTTGCGACCGATCGGTGCATAGAAATTCCACTGTGACGATTCGATTCTACCTCTAGCGGCTGCGAATGGGAGAGAAAGCAGGGACGAATTCATGCAGGGAACGATGAACTTTCGAGTTTCTTTATATTACTCGTGAAACATCATTATTTATTATTTCCCAGCATAAATCCATCCCTGTTTTCTCTCCCATTCGCAGCCGCGCGAAGCCAGAATCGAGTCGTCACAGTTAAATTCCAATGAACCAACCGTCGAAACTCGGCTTCACATTTTTAATGATATATCGAAGACGGATTAACCTTTTTAAATTTTCGAAGGCTTATTTTGAAGCTGAAATTCTAACCAAGATTTCTGTGCTTTTAGAGAAATTTTATCTAAATTTTTCTGGATTTTTTAAAAAGTTGAAATCAAGAGACAAAAATGAGAAAATTTAATAATTTTTTTTATTTCTTTCTCACTCTACAACTTAAAAAATAGTTAACGAAATGACTTTAAAGACAGCTTATTTTACGCTAAATTTAATCAGCTTACTAACCGCATTTAAGATTTTTTTGTATCTCCTTTTATTTACGAGATATGATTGAAAAAATGATGGCATGTTTTTTCATAGAGTCGCTTGTAATCGTCCTGATACTCGTGGACGGTAGTGCAGGTTGTCCGGAATTTGTCTCCCCGAATAAAAGATACTTTTTGGAAGACTCAAAAAAAATTTAATTCTCTTCTTGTAATATGTAACAATATTCAAAAGGAATTTTTACTTTATAATATATTTTTTACAATAAGAGTTTAAAGAATTGTGTTTTTTATAAATTCTGCACCAGAAAGTCATTAGGCATCCAGATGATAAGGTCGTTTTTTATCGAATTCTCTTCTTCATGGGAAACATTTTTTCTTTTCAGGATTTGCTTCTGGATTCGATGTAATTATACCGCAAAATTGGGCTTTGTCATTTTGGCTATCATTTATTTTCCGTTGCGTAAGACCCGGAGGTCTCAGAGAATCTCGATCCTTAATTTTTGAGACACTAAATATGTCAGCACCAGATATTTTTCATCCTGGAACTCCAGCCTATGAACGTGAAGCAATACACCAGCAGCAACTACTCAAAGATAATTATTTTAAAAATCCACCAAATCGACGAGTTAATTTTACAAAATTTGCAATCACCACTCCCTTCCTTTGTGAATGGGGAATCCTGGCAAAAGAATGGGGGGCTCAAGGAGAATTTTCCACTCTCAGAGACAAAGATCTACTTCAAAATCTTAACGATAATCTTATGCCGAGGAAGAGAAAGTCATTTTTAAAGATGAAAACATGCTCGAATATTGAGCCTTTATCGTTTAAAGTACATAACAACTATTTGGTGCCTGTTAAAGTAACCATCGAACGGAAAGGTGTACCAGACGATTTTTCCATAATTTGTCTACCGACAGAAGATGATCTCAAAACTTTCAAGATGAACCGGAAGTGGTCGGGACCTATGGAAAGACTTAAGTCTGACTCGAAAGAAAACGAAAGATTAGATTCAAGAAAGAAACACTTGGAGCTCTTAAAAAAGTTGAGAAAGCAAAGAGTGAGAATGAAGAAACGAATATCAAGTATGAGAAATGAAAGTGATGAAAGTGATGAAGAGTTTATAAATAAGATAGAAATAATTAGGAAAAAATGTTTAATAGGTAACAAGTCTATTGTTGAGACTCAGGCACGGAAAATGCAAGAACTATGTCTCCCGAAGTGTAGTGGAGTACGCTTTTCTTGTGATCGTCAAGTTATAGGATTTGTTGAGCAGGGCGGATTTTGCATTTCGGAGGCAAGAGGCGTTGGGCGAGGTTATGTTGTTTTAAAAGCATTAAACAATTTAATTATTGAAAACACTAATCTTGTTTTAATTCGCAACACACAGACAAGAAAATACAGACTTGCGAATCTCCAAATTTTGATCAGCTGAAAATGTAATTTTTTCATACGTAATGAAATAAAATTTTTCACAACAATATTCTTGTACAGCAGTTATTATTCAAAGGACAGACACTGTAACAAATGCATGTATGCATATTCCGAAAAAATTCTCACATATTTAATGAAAATCATAAAAATAAATTCGCTGGAAGATCCTTCTTTCGTGGGAAACTCATTTGAGTTCCAGCCTTTAAGACAGATTGTGTCGCAATTTTACATGATCTTTTAATTATTTCCTCCATTGATAAATTCGCATGATAAGCTGTGAAGTAAGCAAAAGCTCCTAAAAATGCGTCTCCTGCTCCCTGAAAAAAATAAAAAGCATTTCAATTTTATAAAATAATAGCTGGGGCGTTTCATATGAAAACGACATATGATGTCTCAGATTTTTCTCATATTATGATAATTGAGAGTGATTAGTGTCTTAATGAAGTATACCAAGTAACAATAAAAAATTAATTTTATTTTTCTATATATTTGTATTAAAAAATTTTTGCAAAATTTTTTTATTTTGAAATTCAAAAAATTGTTCTGTACATTATTTGTGCTCAAAATACATCAGAAAAAAATTACAATAAATAAAAATTATGAATTTTAGGTTAATTTGTTTAAATAATCAAGATTTCTCGGACCCTCCCTCCCCCTTCTTACGTAAGATTTTACCACGAGCTTGCCTAACAAGCGTCGAATAAAGGTACTCTCTTACCTCTACTGCCTGCTTGCGCAGGCAGGCGCAATGAGAGTAAGGGAGAAAAAACATTTAATTTGAATTTTCTGACTCTCTTACTCTTATGTGTTACCATGACGACCTGGAGGCAGGCAGGCAGGCAGTAGAGCTGTGCGAGCGCCTTAATGAAATATCGTTAAAAACGGTTTGGGGACACTTTTTTGAAAGTCGAAATTTCATCTGTTTTTAAAAAATCGCCTAAATTTTATTTACAGTCGTTCAAAAGATGGGTGGCCACCGTCGGGACCCTTACCCTAATTAATTAAGCATTTTTAATAAACAAATAAATAATAGAATTGTTTATCTTATAGGTAATTCTTTATCTTTTATGCAGTTTACTAATAAAACCTTTCAACATATTTCATTCTAAAGTTAAAACAATGAAATAACACCTTTAAATTATTTAAACAATTTTAATTAACAAATGCCTCATATTGTTAATCTTTACAAGGAAGTCATCATTTTTTACATAAGACCATTTTAATATAACCAACTTACATTTAAAAGTAGTAGAATAAAAATATAACAATTCAATAATCGATTATTTAAACAATATTAATTTACAAATGCTAAAAAATATTAATTTCAATATTTATTCCATTAAGTCTTATGAAGAGACCAATCATTGCATTAAAAAATTAAAAATTGGATTAACAGGCAAACTTAAAAACAGAGGTTGTTTGTTTATAATTTCCAATTTTTTATTAAAACAAATTAATAAAAACATTTTATTTTTAAAAACTATTGTCGCCAATCGATTTTGTGCAAAAAATTAAGAAATGGATTTAAAGTAAAATTAACAATCAGATTCATAGGCAAATTGTAAAAATTATATACCTGTTTTTTGTTTTTAATTTCCAATTGCTTTTGCTTGAGATGAAACACCATATTTATTCAGCATAATTGGTTTAAAACAATTTTGTGAATAAAATACGACTTTGGACAAAAAAATGACCCAAACTAAAATTCCTTAATTTTTTATACAGAATCGATTCGCGTCAACAGTTTTCAAAAAATTTTCTTCTATCCAATATGCCTATGAATTCAATTATGATAAATATTCCCAGTAAGAAGCGAGGAATAGAAAAAGATTAAATTTCCAGAAATATTCTGTTAAACGAGGATTTTTTAATCTTTCTGAATAGGCGAATTTCCAAAAAAAACCCAATTCCTCTATGAACAGCAAAATATCAGAAAAATTAATTCTTCTCTATTGCTCGTGTCAATGAGATGATAAAAAAGAATTAAGAGTTTCTATTTTCTTGAATGCGCAAAATTTTTCTGCTTCTCAACGTTCCAAAAAAAATACAGAATCCTATCCTTTTGAATCGAACAAAGTAAATCTTGTAAAAGCGAATTGAAAAAAATTAGAAATAGCTATTCTTTTTAATCGACTTTAAGCGATTCTACGTAGTCAATTCAAACGAATAGAAATTGTTTATTCTTTTCAATTGACTGCTTCGAATTTTAGAAACGCATTAAGAGGAATAGAAGTTTTGACAAACAATTTGAAAATTAACAATTAACAAAAATTAACAATTTTTCTTTCTAATTATTTGTATGAGCTCCTTTAGTTATTGTCTTAAATTAAAACGCAGTGACAGCTATTTTTCGCGTTGTGTGAATTTCATTGTGATTTCAGTGCTAAATTATTAAAATGAAATATTAAAACTAGTGAAAATATGGTTAAAAACGCACAGTGCTTACGATAAAATAAAAAATTCTCTTATTTAAATAAATGAAAGAAATTTTCAAGTGTTCAATGTTTAACGTCAAGTTTTCAAAACCTAACCTTTTTTCAAGTGAAATATTGAGTGATAGTAAAGCAATTCAGTGGAATAGAAATTTCTACTGATTTGTTGTACTCTCTCACTCTTTTGAATGCGCGTTTCATATTTTGGTGAAGTCAATTAAGAATAATAGATTTTGCTACTTTTCCTTGCTCCACCGAGGAATTGGATTATTTTGGAAATTCGCCCATTCAAAAGAAATAGACTTCTGAATTCTTTTCAATTCCTCGCTTCTTACCAGGAACCCATCTATACAGTTGAGTACATTGGGTCGTCAGTTCCCGGTAAAAAGGCTTGAATAGAAAGGTATTAAAAATTATTTCATCATCAATAAAAAGACGAAAATTTTTAATACTTCTGAATTCCTTTTTTGTCAGCTAGATTTGAATACTTCTATTAAGTAAAATTCGTCTATAAAACGAATCCTTTTTAATGCTCAAAATTTATAATAATAGAATGAATACTTTTTAATCACTTAAAGTGGAATAAATTTGTGATCTATCTAATCCGTTTTAATTCCTTGTAAATCAAATGCTTATTGGTGGAAACTAACAAAAATTAACCAATCAAACTCCAAGTTACTTGAGAAAAGGATGAAAAAGAAAATGGCTTTGTTCAAAGTGATTTTAGTGACAGTTGTACACGGAGAGAAAAAAAAGTAAGCGGCTCTACCTGTCGGTAGAGCGGTTGCGTTAAATGCGAAACAGCCGTTCAACTTGAGGTTAAGCACGCTGCTTACTCTCGAGGGGAGAACGGTTCTCCTTTTTAGGAAAAGCGGGTACACTTTTTGGAAAGTAAGCGGCTCTATTTGTGTGGAGAAGAGAACCGATACTCCTCAAAAGTATAACCGTTCGACGTTTGCGGCGCAACTGCTGCGCTTTATAAAGGGAAAACAGCTCTCTCTTGCCAAATCAAACGGCTCACTTTTTTTTCTCTCCGTGTAATGGGCTTGACTTTGTAACTGGTGATAACTGGCGTCAACCGCAACTGTCCACGTGCATATAATCGGGTGCAAATTACCAAAGTGCAAATAAAATTCCATACAGCACCGAGAATTTTTCGAAAGTGGACAGGACCTCGCCTAACGAGGTTGGAAATATTGCGTGGTTATGTGAGGTTATTTAAATGTCCGTATATAAGGAAATATTGAATATCAAACTTGAGCAAAAAGTTTATTGAAAATAATATGACTTGACATGTTTAGGTAATATTGTATCAATACACTTAAATCTCGCTATAACGACCTTCTCTATAACGAGGGCTCTGTCTCTCGGTATAGCGAGAAAAATTTCCTCCCGATTACCCCCACTATTTATAAACAAATGCACATTCAGTTGGTTTAAATTTGGTTAAAATCAATTTTATTTATATAAAATAAAAATAAAAAAGTCATTAAAAGTCAATTCTTATTTGAAATTATATCAATGAGTCGAAAATCTTCAAAATTTTAGCTTATATAAATTTTCTGTATTTAAGAATTCAAATTAAACTAGGTTACGTTTGTAATTAATTGTAATTATGTCCTTTTCAATTCCTTTCTATACCTTGGTCAACATTTATGTGACGATATTAAAGGGAATTAAAAATTTTTTATTTATATACTCAGGACAAAAAAGGAATTAAAAGGAATTCAATTTCTTTAATACTTTCAAATGTAAGCCTTTTTACCGGGTTAAGAATGACTGTTAATCCAGTTGAAAAAAACCTGTTGTCTTTACTACTGAAATTTTAGACAATTATCACGTTAATTCTGACGCATCATCTAAAGAGATGAAAAAATGACGAATTTTTTATGAAGCACTGCGGGAAAAAAATCTGTTCCGCCTAATTATCGAAAACATGTTTCTGAGAAAAAAACATTAGATAATATTTATAAGAGCAATGTACATGAATTTGATGTTGGCAATCCGCAAAAATCTAAAAGACCCGCAATATTTAAATTAAATTTGAAATATGATTTCAAACTTCTACTTGTCATTAATGGTCAACAGACTGCGACTTCAATGTATCTGTGTCCGTATTTCTTTATTACATTATCAGAATTGAAAGCAAATGAAGAAGACATTTCATCTGATAGTGAGCAGGATGATGAACCTAATGTGGAGCCCGAATGTTTAAAAGTAAGTAGCACTTGCTTACGTTTAAAAATATACGGAGATTTGAAAAATGACTATGATCAGTTTGTGCTAGCAGGTGTAAAAAAGAAACTGGCAATGCAAAATCACAGTACTATCAATGTACCACTTGTCAAAGAAGATGATGATGCACTTGTTATTGAAAAATGTGTAATTTCTGAATTGCACATTTTACAAGGATTTGTAAATCATGTGTTTTGGAATGGATTGGTACCTCTACTTACAAAAGAAAAAGCGTTACTCTGGCCAGAGAAACTGAATATTTGTTCAAAGAATTATCATGGCGAAATTTTTGAAGGCAGCGCTTGTAGAAAACTTCTAAAAGAATCAGATGCCTTTAATGATCCACACATTTATTCAAATGTTGGCAAGTTTGCAGTAGTACCTTTTATTGCTACTATCAAAGCTATGAATAAAATTGTGGAATGTTGCTTTTCTACATCGACACCTAGACCGAATTTAGATGAATATGTAAAAGAATTAAAAACAGCTTACAAGAGTACAGACCTTTCGGTAACATTAAAGATTCACGTAATATTTGAGCATTTACAGCATTCCTTACATTTTTTAGATGGTGAGGGATTTGGGTTATGGTCAGAACAGTCTAGCGAGTCTGTTTATAGGGACTTTTTGAATGTCTGGAACCGCTACAA